GACTCCTGCCTCTGGGACACGACTCTTGCCTGTAGAACTGCCCTTTTACTCGTGGGATGTGACTCTTCAATATGGCTTTTCAACACGAGACGTGACTCTTGCCCTTAAGATGTGACTATTTGTTGGGTGCCTGTTGGACTGGACTGCTGAGGTACCCGTCTGTGACTTTTCTGAATTTGACGAACTCGGCCTCTCTTGACCAGGGCTTCTGACCCTGAGGCCCGAATTTGGGGCCTGAATCGTGGAAGGCCTTTCAAAACCTTCATCCCAATGCACCTGATCTTCCCCCCAGACCCAAATATGCTTGGATTCGACGCAGTCCCACCAATGGTGCGTAGCAGTCTCCTCAGCTTTCCCACAACGATGGCAATTTGACTCCACCGGCATTCTGTTGGATGACAGCCACTTAGCTGCAGGAACGACCCTGTGTGACTGCAGCCAGGTAAGACTTCCCAATTTAGCTGACGGAATCTGTTTCAGGTTCCACCATAGGACTCTCAGCTTGGCCGAATTGAGTTTGGGTCTTTCCCAGACTTATATTTTGTCCCATTCGCTTATTGATTTATTTATTTATTTTTGCAGCAAATTTTGCTGGTTGAGTTTGGGACAGAGAGTACGCACAAACTCTTCCTTTCGTCTGGCCGAAGGACCCCTGAACAACATTGATTACTCCATTCTCAAGGAGGATTGGCTGTCAGCTTGCCTTTCTCCTGGAAATCCTCTCATCTATGGTGCACCACAACTGTTGGATCAGCTTGCAAAATCAAGATTCCTAAAAGAAAGGGCGACCAGATCTGGTGTCATCGTCTTGTTGAAGCCTTATACATCTGCTTTCCGGTCTTCTTAGGTATCTGTGATTCCCTGTATGTTCGGATTTAGCCTCCTATTTGCATGATCTTCCTGTTATCCCTATAGGCCCAGCTAGGGGTTGGATCCTCCTGTGCCTGGATAGTCCTCCGAGCTGTTGATGTGTCAGAATTATGCCAGTCGTTCCATCTTAGGTTGAGCCCATTCAGCTCAGCCACCTTGCTTCTGCCAACCAGGCCCGTTTGAATTTGGCAAGAACCATCTGCTCTCTTTCTGGGCGATTTTGCACCCAGAGTTCGGTCTTCTTCAAGTGCCAAAGGATCTCCAATGCGATCATCCCTTTGGTAGTGGCCCAAACCTTCTCCCTTGAGTTCTTGGTAAGCGTCTAGAGTTTCTAGGACATTTATTCTCGTCCTCCCTTCTGGTCTTAGCGATAGCATAACGAAGAGTTCCATAGGATACTTCTGCAAAAATCGTAAGCACTCGCAGCCAAAAAATAAGAGCATCAAGGAACCAGAGAAAAGCGTTATGCCATTTCATTTTTGGTGATCCACCAAATCATCAAAGAGTAGTTACCTAGCAGAATGAGAGAAGGGTGCAAGGAAGCAAAGAGACGTGAATGAAGATGTGAAACTCGTAGTTCAAATGGTGAGAGGGCAGAGGGCGGATAGAATGAAGAGAAAAAGGCAAGCATTCCACCCAATCAGTAAAGGGCTGTGACGAACCAATTCCTGTTCCACGTGATTTTCTGCGCGATGACAATAAGGGGCCCTAAGCTGGGAAGGTTGGGCCAATTATGGGAGATGGGATCCAATGGGAAAATTGCATCGGTGTCCTTGTTTGTTCTTCTTTTTACATCGCTTCTTTTCGGATGGCAGGGGACAGGGCTGGGCAAGTCCCGAGATGGTCGATTGAGTGGCTGGCGTGCCGATGGAGGCGCGATTAATAATGGTTGACGTCGCTTCTTTCTTGTTTTGCTGTCGGGCTTTCGGCGCGATGATCACTTGGGAGTTTTTGCTTCTTTCTTTTCGAATTTCTTTTTTGAATCTTGTCGAGCCCTCTATAGCTCTCAGAATTTCGGACTTTCTTTTCGGGATTTGTGCTTTAATAAAGTTTTTTTTGCATTTTTGCGTTAAATAGGAGTTTAGGAATTTAGGAATTCGGATTTTCTTTTGCCACGTGGTGCTTTTTGCTCGCGCGTTTCTTTTTGCGGCTGCAACGGAGCTCTGATTAGTCGACGCCCTTAATCTTGCGTGTAACTGTAATTTTGGGCGGGGCGCCCTTGTAACTGTATCTTTCTTCTTGAACGTCGTCTTTCCCGCCCTCTCTCTTTTGGCTGTGTCTAGTTGGCCCGCGGGCTACATCATCGGATCGATGTGTGGAGAGTGGCTACGTCCCCCACGCCACAATCTGGCCATGCAGAACGTAGGCACTCCCTCCCCTTCTCTCCTTCTAGGTCCTTGCAATTTCGTGTTCTTCGCGCATGCATGCACGCTACAAATTTCGGCTGCGCGATTAGATAGCTCTCTTAAACAGTTGTTGGAAGCTCGGGGTAGCGTGATCAGTGAGGGTCGGCTCACGAGCGAAGTAAGAGGTGAGTTGAAGTGGAAGTTGGGCGACCCGACGGGCTGGTGCCGAATGTGCGGGGTTGACACGTAGGCTACGACGGATTGTGGCACGCGGGCGAACCTGACGGGCACAGGAGGACTAAGCGGGGTGACAACTTTGTGGGTTGGTGCGTGACGACGGGTTGTCCGCATCGGAGAGAGAGAAAGCGAGGGAGAGAGTTGAGATGGATGGATGTGGGATTGCAATTTTCTTTGTCTTTCTCAATCTTGTATATAAGTTTTGATCTCGGCTTCGGGCGATCCACCCTTATTTTTCAATTCAACATCCTTTCTGGCTTTCACCTTTGACTGAAGCTTTTCTCGTTTTTCGATCCTTTCTCTTTTTTTTTGTGTACGATGAATGGATGGATTCTGCCCAAGGGATGGTTGAAGGATATGACTCGTTGTTTTCTTTTGCTCGTCCTTGCAGTATCTGATGTATGAGTAGGCCATGATGCGATGCCACTCTGCATAATCCAGGGATGTTGTTGGGTTGCGGGATCACTGAACGATTAGATGATTGGGTGATTATCTATGCCACATGGCGATTTTGCATGTAGGACTGAAACCTCACTTTTGCACGAAAATCAGCCAGCAGGCCCGTGTACGATCAAACACCTCGTGCGCCCACGTGTAAGGGCGATCTGATCAACGCGGCCTACACGTGTCCACACGCGGACGATTCGCGATCACTGATGAACTTGGCACCTCCAGCATCGGGATAAGTGCGGAATTTTCCCTTTTGCGAGAATTTGAGCCGGTAGGAATTTTCGCCACCATACCCAGAAATCCCTTGTCAACCGAAGCACGATCAGATGTGTGCGGAGGGTTCCCACTACGCTGCAGCTAGCGATCCGCCGGAATGACAAGATGTCGTACATCACGGACCGAGAGAGATTGTGGGACCCAGAGTACCGAGAATACTGGGAGGGAGAACAGCTTAGGCTGCGGGGGAATTTGAGAAATCCGGAATTCCCCTATCTAACCGAGAACGACCGACTGTGTGCCAGGGACTTTCACCGCGCCATAACCAACGACCCGAGGGGTCCCGACTACTCGCCTACTTATAACACGCAATATTTCATATCCCCCGGCTTCGTCGTTATCGCTACCAATTTCCCTCCCTTCCATCTCCTCCTCCCATACCACCAACTCACGGTGGTACCGTGGAATTCCATAGCCCCATATTGGCCCCACACGCCGTGCAGAAATTGCAGACGATGCGGTAACCGCCGAGCCTCTGGAATTATGGAGTCTAACCATAACGCACGACGGCAATCGCCACGTGTCCACACCCGGAGGTCCGACCCATAGAAATTGCAACCCTCACGAGCGGACCTCTCCTGAACCGCCGTCACTAGAACGGGCGGATCCGACGGACCAAGATGCACCGCGCATGCCATCTGCCTTATGCTGCACGACATCGACCGTCATCAGACCGAAAGTAACCCGTCCCTTAGCCTCATTACACCTATGACCTTGAAACCTTGCCACAGGAGATCTCAGTTCTGACCTGGGACTCCACCCCCAATTTCCCAAAAATCCTTGGCACACCCCTTTTCGCACTTCCAAGCCCACATCCCACTCCGATCAGGAAATCTCGTCGGGCGTGAGGTTGGTATCGGAGCTGACACGTGGCAGGATTATAGGATTCGTAGGACGATAACTGAGATCGAAGTGATCTGGCTAACAGGGGGCGACCTCGACCCCGGAACGCGCATCGACGCGACCACGTTGTCACAAGAAGCCGGTCTGCGGCTCGACGGGCGGCCAACATGAACGCCAATCAACAGCTGAATCCTAATCAACCCGTACCCCGAGCACGGGCACCTGTAGCCACACCCGACCTCTATCTGTTTGATCCTGCTCACCACCTTGCTGGAGCATGCTGGCCACGCTCCGAGCTCAGCAATACGATAACAACGAGGCCCAGATAAACATTCCCGCTAGATTGGGAGGAGATGCCCATCATTGGTTTAGCACCTATATATGGGTTGATCTCCCGACATTCGAGCGAGACTTTTTGAATCGATTCGATTATGTCCATCCGGAACAACCCCTCTTTATGATTAAAGATCGGGTCCAAAAACCCCTCGAGTCTGTCACCGAGTATCGAAACCGATTCTACCGAATGTTTGTAAAAACCGAACGAGGCGAAAAGTAGGTAGAGATTTGTTTATCGATGGACGTCGCAGCAGAGCGATGAGAGCGAAACTGCGAAAGCGGTTCTCCCCCATCAATCACACGCTGCAACAGATCATGGCTGCCGCAGAAGAGATGAAACGAAAGTTCGCTGCGAGTTTCCTAGAGGGAGAGGATTACCCCAGGGAAGGAGACTCGTCTGAACTGGCGAGAGCCAAAGGTGAGTTGGCCGCATTACAAAATAAGTTTGAAAAGATGGGGTTTGTGTCTGGTCTGGTTACCTATTTGGAACAAATCACCCCCAAACGACCGACCCCGAGTGTGATCTCGAGCATGCCTATCCCTGTGATGACCTCGGCCCCACCACCGACAGAAAATCCCGCACGGACAAATGAGTCAACCGCCTTATTGGAACTGACCAAAACACTGGTCAATCTGATCCAGGAAAGCAAAAACGAACAGCGGGAACACAATGCTCGAATAGAGGCGATGATGAGGTCGATGCGACCGATAGCGGTACGTGCCGCCCCAATTCAACACGGGCCGGCCCCAGCACCCGCTCTCGGAGGAGTCGCTGGTAACCTGAACGTTTGTTACACGTGTCATCAACCAGGGCACATAGCCCGAGATTGCCCCCATCGACCCCCGCAACCACGAGTCGGGGCCGCACCGGTAGCAGTAGCCCCGATTGCTAACGGGCGGGGGCGAGTAGGGGCGCTCATGGAAGAGATGGAAGGAGGCGGATGCACGTTGGCTACAACGGAAGAAGCCGCTGAACTTATCACGTTGGACCAGTACGTAAACCTTGGCTACCCAGGTCTGGGAATGATCGGAACGATCAGGCCCGCACCCGAACGGAGGGAAGTGGCAGAGTGGCGACCATCTCCAGGGGAAATGGAGACGGGAGGACCCACTTTCGTCACCGGGGCAATCGATGTCTTGAACATCGTTCGGGCAGTAGATCATCGAATCCCTCTCCCAATCGGTCATCTATTGTCGATATCAGAACAAGCCAACGAACACATGTTGCAACACTGCAAGGCGAATCGAAAGCGATTCGCCCTTGCTCGAACAACAAATACGAAAGAAAAGAGTCCAGCACAAGACGAACTCGTCAGCCCCAGTTGCGATTGAGCATCAAAGTCTGCCCAACAACTGATAATCTGCGGGACCTGGAGTTCAATTCTGTTTGTGGAGTGCGAAACTCTGCTCAAAATAGATCCAGGTCCAACAGGAAGGTCCACCACAGACCCACCAACCTAGCCCCAGTTGCGATTGAGCATCAAAGACTGCCCAACAACTGATAACCTGCGGCACCTGAAATTCAATTCTGTTTGTGGAGT